CTTATGTTTCATCGACGACACTAGAACGAGCAGGATGGATGGATAAGCAGGAGACAACCAATTACATTACGTACACTAATACAGAGTAATCGCCTTACTTTATACACAAAACAATGATAAAAATGTGGATGCTCTGAAGCCACCTACCTGCGGTAGAAGTACTGCTACTATATCCATGTCCGTACATCTCTAAAGGTGTCTATATGGTAATAAATATGGCCCGCGTGTTGACGACTACTTGCGGTACCAACACCGATATAACGGGATTATAGCAGGTTGAATGTTTACGTTGGAGAGCTAAAACCTATTGATAGTGGTCACTCTTGGTCAGTAGAGTTGATTAGCTTGAAGATCAGGTAGTAATCGGGGATTTGGTTTATGTGTATTTCCTACGCCTCCTTAATCACAGGTACTACTGTCCAGTCGTAGTGAAGTGACCAAGAATGCTCATTTACAATACACTGTGTAGAACAGGACTACCTTCACAAAACGGGCGTTACGAATTAAAAGACCTGCCCTTTCACCAAGCACTCCCTTGCTAAATGTCACTGATATCCTTACCCCAAACATCTCTTTACTTAAATTATTTCACCCTTTTAAGGTACAAGTGTGACGACATTGTGGTCACGTAACCTTTACTGATTATATTTATATATGTTCCTTTAGAAATAACACCTAGATCTTTCTTGACAAATTACTTGAAAAGTAAGTGTACTCTACAGTGAAAACAAATTTTAATCACCATTTAGGTTAGTAGAAACGTATTTTTCCAATGAACATAAATTCGAGAACAATGTCGTTGATTGTTACATCGAATTTGTGACTGTCATATATACAGATCGAAACTCTGTAAGAAAATGGTCATGAAGGACAGGGGAAGAGCCAGAAAGGAAGCTGTACTATAACCGGAACCGAAAAACAGAGCCCTGGTGGAAACGGCCTCTGCAACAAGTACTATCGAACAAGTATAATGCTAACGATGGAAGAAGGATGGTGAAAGTTTTCAACATTATAGACAAATACACTGACATAAAATTCGTTAAAATAACAATTTAACACGTAGACCCTTAAGAAAGGGATAATTAAAACGAAGACCGCGTTTTCGAGAAAGGTTGACGTCTTCAACTCCATCTGCACCACCTGTCGAGCAAATATCCGTCAATACCAGAAATGAGAACAAGGTATACAACGAGGGAATCACAGGATAAACTAACGAGCATCAAATGATAGATTATTTCTCAATGAGATCATTATGGCGACATATGAAACTCCACCATAATTTTCATCGAATGGATACAAGCTTTACAACAACGAAACAACCACGCAATCAATAATATATATTGTTATTGAACAAACCTTCATATTCATGTTTCTATTACCAAGATATGTCCTTAATGCAATCAGATGTTCAAATTTTGTCCAAACTTTCGACCAATCAGAAAACCTTTATTTAGAGGCCATTCTCATCTCGATGCGGTGAATATAAGAAATAAATGTCAAAGACGAAAAGATAATAGCCAATTTGCAGCCAGAAAACTGCAGTCATCTTGCGAAATCAGAATGTATGATCATAAAAATCTACATTATAAGGATGAGACCAGTTCTTTTGTATGAGTATAGTTTACTCTATATTGTTCGAGAACCAATTTACGTTGCACGTTTCTGAAGAACTATCTTTTATCTTTGTGAAAGTTCTTGAAAGAATTAATAATGATGCAACTTCCATCGGGTGGAAAAGACACACAATTTAAAAGCACCATTTGATACAAATTAGTAAGTGTATAGCCAAACCATGCATTAAAATGAATCAAGCATTAAAATACATCATGCATGTGTTACATGCCTTAATTTTGAATCCTCCGATGCGACTGGGGAAAATCTAAAAGAAAAATCTATTACACACATTCATTAGGTCGTACACGGCGACAATGGTCGTAACACATGACCTAACACTCATATGTATTCATTACCAAGGCCCCTGGAGACTCTCGCTCCTAGAATGCAGACTTTGTATCGAGATATATCATCGATCTCGTCACTTTAAACATGGTGTATTGACATATTGTCGCATGTTGTTTATGCTGGTATCGACAGGACAACAAAGCCATGCACAACATGTAGCGCTACTTGTAAGAATGAAACCTTCGAGGCATTTAAACATGTCGAGACATGGCTTTCTTTTCTACCATTATTCATTTTGGAGACTGATCTATATGATAACAATGTTCACCATCGGTTACATGTCATAATATTTCCGTATAATAGATATGAAAATATTTGTATATGTTTATCCAGTAATAATGATAATGCTTATATTTATTCAATATCACGTAGACAGTTACACACACTTTGACTTTACATAACAATTTGTACTGTGATTGATGGGAGAGATAGACAGTTTGGAAACAACTTTAACATTATAAATAACATTTCGGTATTAGCAACAAAAACAACCTGATATAACATATATTTAATTGGTACCTATAATAGTCTTTATGCCAGATTGAATAACTGAAGCAAAAGTCTTATACAAATAGATACAAACACTTTCCGTTTCATTAAACACTTTTTGTCTTAATCATAACGCACTGTCTGAATCTTAAGGCATTTTATCTTGATATGAACATGCCTTATCTTCAAGTTAACGTATTTTCTTAATCTTAACATACTTGTATATGTACATTATCTTAACCATACAAACCTGTTTGTGAGAACAGTTCCAGGTATACAACAATAGATACAGACACTTTCCGTTTCATTAAACAGAAATTAGAAAAGGAAATTAGGAAAACAGTCCAATTGTAAAACGTACGCCAGATGACAATAGGTATTGTGTAGTGTCAAGGAAATCATATAAATATAAACAAAACATGTATATTCTGTTCCTTAGTCCCTGAAGAGCATCAAATAGATATTAAATCAATCCTTGTTTCCTTTTCTGTGTTGAGATATTTGATGTGTTCTGTCCTGATAAGTTGTAATGGTGTGACTCTTAAATAATACAATCGTTTACATTGTTGTATGTTTTGATTGCACATGCTGGCATTGTTTTTGCTGTAACAGGACAAATATCTTATTTTATATATATTGCTGTTGTGGTTCATGTATATTTTATCTAGCGTTACTGTACGCTCTACTAAAATTGCATTTTGCCTCTCGTGTAACATCCGTGTATATTGTATTCCGTTTAGTTAGCGTTACTTATATCTAGTGTCACAAAGTACAAATGATATGGTGAGGTCTTAGTTTCTTAAGTCAATATAACCAAAGGATTTTAGTTCTAGACACAATGAACACGCGAACGTGGATTACTGCTTAATCTGGCCAAAATGGGCTTATGATCAACAATTCAACACTGACCGGGAAAAAAGAAATCAAAATTGACTGGTAGAAAGCATATTTGTGAAACCAACTCAATACACACACACTGTGTCCAAGCCAAAAACAGTGAGAGCGTCCTCATTAGACACATCAACAATTACAATTTGTCCTACTCAGATAAAAAAAACACCAAGTTCTTCACATAGACACACTGATCTAATCATAAAAAACTAGGCGTCATAAGCAGAAATGGTATTGCTTACCACAGGGTGTCCTAATAAGAGACTGTCCTTACTATACAACCTCAGTGTGTCCTAATAAGAAGCTGTCCTATTCATACATCTACAGGATCTCCTAAAAAGAAGCTTTCCTAACCAGACAAGCACAGGGTCTCCTAATAAGAAGCTGTCCTATTCATACAACCACAGGGTGTCTTAATAAGAAGCTTTCCTAACCAGACAACTACAGGGACTCCTAATACGACGTCCTAACCAGACAACTACAGGGTCTCCTAATACGACGTACTAACCAGACAACTACAGGGTCTCCTAATACGACGTCCTAACCAGACAACTACAGGGTCTCCTAATACGACGTCCTAACCATACAACCACAGGATCTCCTAAAAAGAAGCTTTCCTAACCAGACAAGCACAGGGTCTCCTAATAAGAAGCTGTCCTATTCATACAACCACATGTTGTCTTAATAAGAAGCTTTCCTAACCAGACAACTACAGGGTCTCCTAATACGACGTCCTAACCAGACAACTACAGGGTCTCCTAATACGACGTACTAACCAGACAACTACAGGGTCTCCTGATACGACGTCCTAACCAGACAACTACAGGGTGTCCTAATACGACGTCCTAACCAGACAACCACAGTGTCTCCTAATAAGAGACTGTCCTTACCATACAACCACAGAGTGTCCTAATAAGAAGCTGTCCTAACCAGACAACCACAGTGTCTCCTAATAAGAAGATGTCCTAACCATACAACTACAGGGTGTGTGTCCTAATAAGAAACTGTCCAAACGAAACAAGGACAGAATATCCTGATTAGAAACTGCGTCCTTACCACACAAACAGAGTGTGTTCTAATAAGATACTGTGTTGTTGTCATATAAACAAGGAACGTCCAATTTAGTCCTAATGAGAACAATTGTCCTACTCATACAAATACAGGATGTCTTTATAAGACACTTTGTCATCACCATACAAACACATCACATCCTGATCACAAATATACCCGTATAAAATTTACTGTGTCCTACATATATAATATACGGCACTGCTTTAGAATGTTGTGTCCTACTTAAACAAAAACAAACTTAGTTCTAATAAAGAAACAGTGACCTAAACATACAAACGTACAGTATCTTACCCTGTACACTATTTCTTAATCTTAACTGGTTTCGTCTTAATCTTTACTCACTTTGTGTTTATCTCTACAATTTTTGTCTTAATCATAACATACTGTCTGGATTTTAACTCATTTCGTCTTCATCATAACACTCTGTCTGAATCTTCACGCACTTTATCTTAATATGCACACGCCTTATCTTCATATTAACGTATTGTCTTAATCTTAACATACATGTATATGTACATTATCTTAACCATACAAACCTGTTTGTGAGAACAGTTCCAAAGTATTATATATGGTAAAAATAGACTTACTTGTGATATGTCCATTCTGGGACACTTTGATCACAACGAAATCCTCCATTATTACTCTGTTCATGGAATTATTCGTTATTCCTTCACTTCCTCGAATCATATTAACTCGCATATACTCATCACACTTTAATTCATCACATCGCCGTCCACCAGTATCCGACAAAAGGCGAAAAAAGCGTTCATTTCACGCCGTGACAGTTTGACGTACGGTGTAAAGCTTTAAACATCGATCCTGTCCAGAACCGTGTTATATTTCATACCTGGACTAAATATAAACAGGTAAATCTATGGAAAATGAATATTACACTTCAAACACATATATACCGCTCCTGGTTAACGTTATCGATCACTCGACCAATACATCAATTATATAGAAATATACACTAGACGATTAGCACATAATGGCTAGTCCGAAGCCCACAAAGGAAAGGCCATTAAAAGTTACGTTGGTATCCTTGAAGGGACGAAGATCCCCGGTACAAGGGTAGTGTAGTTGTAAACAGAACACGTTTACAGGTGTATTACCTTACTCACATACCTAGATACTAGAGCATTATAAGCGTCTATACCGTAAAATAACAAGACATATTTCAATGAAAGAAAAATAATGATTGGTAAGAACCGATCAGATAAACGCAATATCACTCATGCGAAAGACGTTTCCGAACTACCTGATCGATTCCGGTTCAACCGTAGAGGCGAGTATACGTCGAGACGTTGCCTTGGCGGAGCAGATCAAGTGTCGGGATCAATTGAACACGTGATCCCCCGAGACTAGGACCGGTCAATAATATCATGTAATGTTCGCTATAAGTCAATGAGTTCAACACAACTCAGCACTCTTATTCATATCAATAATGTTCTTACAGAGACATTGTCTGAAGTTCCAAGGTCAACTTTCGGACTTTAAAAATATATGTTTGCTCGATACTGTCAGTGTTCCAGCGGCACTAGGCAGTGGGAGTGCTGCTAATACGCCTAATGTTTGTTAATAAGGGGGAGTTGTTGTGTGAATTATATATGAGTTAGACACTTCCACCCAAACATTGCCCGAAAGGTTACAAACCTGGCTACCCCGGTATGCTGTATATCTAACCCTCGTTAAAGCCATTACCTACAGACATCTGTATGTAATAACAGACCATGCCTTGTTACACCGATAACACAGAACAATATATATACCCTACTTAATTACGGTAAAAACAGTATACTGAATGTTTTAAGTTCATTCACGTTAGAAAATGAGTATCCAGATGTGACGATATTGCTGTGATTGTAATACTATTGTAAGTATGTAAGTATTTTGTGTTTGAGACCAACAGAGCGGATAGACAGACACATAGAAAGTCTAGCACTAAGTATGAAGATTGGTTTTAATTAAAATCCGGCTACACAACGCCTTATTGAAATTCAAGTACCAAGTGTAAACATGCGCCATTATTCATGGTTTTCAGCGTGGAAGCACAATAGGGTTTTAAAGTCATAAAGACGTTGCTGATTTTCGTGTTAAAAAATATAAGTGTGACACATCACACAAGGTTGACACGTTCATATCAGTGTAAAATTATATTTTCAAATTAAAATTTTCAACCAAATCACAACATAAATTGAATAGAGATATATTTCCCAAACTCATTAGAATAACTACTGATATTGTGTAGTCTCAATGGTTGAGGCATAAGATCTATAGAGTACTCCGCCTGTTTCTCAATTACATTCGTCACAGGAATCATTTTAAATAATTTTAAGAGTTGGGCATTTCGGGCAAGATTACCTACATGCAGCTCAATTAAAGAAATTGTTTTCTATTCATACATTGACATGCCATTAGATTAAATGTCTCAGTTGGCAATGAACACTTATTCAGTGACAGTTGCTGTCGCAACTCCATGATGGTGTCAAACTTTAATTGGTTCAGGAGGATCTTCTTAGATTTGGTCGAGCAGTTGCTGTTTCCATTGGCACATCACTTGTGAGTTCAAGGAGATATCGATTCCATTGAAAGTGTTGACTCGGTCGAAGAGTTGCTGTCTCGAATGACAATGTTTGTTTGATCAAGATATTTTTTACATTTTTTTTTTTTTTTCAATTTTTCATTAAGTGACCTTACATTTTAAATTCTGATTGGACACTGTACCTGCCTAAATCAACAAATTACTGTTAGATCTTAAGTCGAAGACTTTTCCAACATCATGGAGTCTGAACAACAATGGGTACTAATGTCCTTTATTTCATACAGCAACTACGAAAAAAGCTGACATTTGCCACAAATATGATGATTGGTGGAGAAGCAATAATACTTATTGCCGAAGCCAGTCATCAAATAAGCACTGACGAAAAAAGAGAGATTGCATAAAATTCCCGATATTTGATTGGTCGACAAGAATTGATGAATCTATTGCTGATGATTTGATTCGTCGACTTGCTTTCTCCATTAATATTGGAATGACCAATGAGAACTGTCAACACATTAGGCTTCATCAATAGAAATGCTAAAAGGATAAAAAGGTTTAAGAGAAAATTAAGTTTTAAATAATTGCATCCGATTCCCCATGGAGAAGACATGAAAAGAAAAACAAGTTATAACCAGTCATATTTCTTGGATCAATATAATGAAATGGTTCATCTCTAAAATATGTAGTCTAATCAAGATTTGCGTGTCTCACGACGGCCTTGGAGAACTGTACGAAACTAACATGTATGAAACCATTATGTAATTAATCCGGTATTTACATTAAAGAACATTGTCAAAACGACAATTGGCATGAAAGATATTTGCTGATTTGCTTGCAAGTTTTCCAATTAATTGGTATTGTAAAGGAATTTAATGTACATGTGTATTTAAAATAAATATCTGTCTTCATTGTATCTTATACGATTCATCATGTGAGATGTGCTTAAATCGGAATGCCATTCGAAAGCTATAACTTGATGAAAATTTACATCTGGACATTTGAGAGGTACATTTCTGCATGCATGCTCACACATAAAGTTTATACAGGGCCTAGATGGCCCTGTAAGTAGTATATTACCTTACTAGACAAACATTCTATCGGGGACTAAACCAAGAATTATCTTACAGCACAACACTGATGTAGGTAATTTGCTGAAATGCTTCATCGACACCTGCATGCAATTTATTCGCCGTTACGGTAAGTACCTTGGCAGGCAAATAAAATCATTATTCATGTCAACGTCCTCGTATCAATAACTTCAGCAACAAAACAAACAAACAAAAAACCACAAACAAACACACACAAAAACAAAAGAAAGAAAAATGAACAGAAAAACTGAATGTAAATGAAGTACATTCATGTACTTCGTAATTACATCTATCCAAAGTAATTTATTATTTATGAACTATTTACGTAAAATCTGTTTGCCACTTTCGAATATAATCACGAGTGATATTGGTGATGTAGAGTGGAACAATATTATAAGCTATGGAAACACTGTCACTGACAGGCGCTTAGATATTCAACAACAGAGATATGATGTTTTAATTTAAACGAAGTCCATTCACTTTCATAGATCGTTTTAAATATACTTTCCAGCAGTTTGAAAAGATATACCAAGATGTCGTCGGGATATTGGATATTATATAGAAATTAAAAAGATATTAAATTGGCATTTTAAATAATTTACAGGTGTGTGGGTGTTGTTCGTTATAGCTACATCTAAAATTTAAAGTCCCGGTGTTACGATCCAAGCCTAATGCGATCGATATTTAAGTACTGGCCTTTTCGTTGTAAATCCAATTTATCCTATAATATTAAACTTGACAGTAAAGGCCTTGCATGTTTTCACTCTGGCCTAAGTCAGGTAAGACGAATCCAGGTAAACAGCGCACATGACAGGTACATACAGGCGGGTGTGATACATTGTAAAGGTGTACCAATGATGGATTATAGAGTTTAGTGTCAGAAAATGGTCCGAGCATTTTATTTTTGTCATTACATTGTGGTACAAATAATGCGTATCCAAGCTAGTTCAAAAGAATGACTTGATGAATAGTCAGTACTCACACTCAATCTACCCCAACATATAGATCATAAGAAAGGCCTTTCTGTGATGTCCAATATCAAATGAAGCGAACTAATCATATATTGGTTCCTATTAATGCACATGAACGGCATCGAAATCGGACCTCGTTTGTGTCACTGACGAACGAACAATGAATTTAGAGTCTTGAAGCAGGTGCATGCACTTCATAGTAATATTACAACCTAGTCACAATTCACCTACAGAACCTAGATTCATACAAAATATTGAAAATCAGACTTCGGTTTTTTATAATAACCTGAAAGAGTTTCTGAAACAGGATTAAAGAAAATTAACCGCCAAGGACCAAACCCATAAAGATACTGTATTATACCACTAAGGTTATGTAGCTAAATTTCAGTTCTTACCCGTGGCATACGACACGGTCTTGATTTTTGCCTATGTACTTAAGCATTACAATTATTGACGCTTGTCGTGAAAGCTCGAAAGTCGACCGACACTGATAAGTCTATGCCATCCTTCCTACGCCATGCACCTTAATGATTCGTCATTATAATAATGCTCTCTGTTTAGTTAAACCTGTGTACGCTATAGCAGCTCCTCCTGGGTTGGACAGATCTAAAATCTCAGAGGTACATAAATCTCGTACTTCATCGTGACTTCGAATCGAATCTTGCATTTCCAACTTTTGTCGCAACAACAACATACGAATGTTAACATTCATTATCTTTCTATTCCTCTTAATACACAAAATATGAATTTTTAATTATACCGAATATTTTGGAGTGCGTTTTTTCTCGACCACTGTTCGTCTAGCTTGTCTGATGTTACCTATGCTACACAATGTGGCCTGGGTCGGTATGTATGTTTCCGATAGAGATATAACAGCAGATTATACAACACTGACAAGAATACATAATATACCTGGAACCAAATTGTATTTTCCTCAACTGTCATCTCCAAGTATTCAGTTTGTTTGGAACAAACATATATCAAATTCTTTACGTCCGAGTCAGGTACCGGATATACATGTCCTTAACGTTATATGACAAGACTTTATATCTTTACATCAAAAGTGTATAACAATACATTTTTTAC